ATTTTTAATATTATTTTTGGTTACTAACTGCAATTCTGTTTTCTAGATCTGATATTGTATCTACCCCTTAATTAAATCTGTTGCATATACTTTCAATGAAATTTTAATCTCCTGTATATCTGATTGGAATTGCTCCATGGATTGTATTCTATTCCTGTGTTGGGCATTCATTTTCCTTAGGTCCTTTAGCTTTCTATCTTTGTCTACTCTTGATTAATTGAGCATGTTTTCTTATTTTGATCTTCATTATTTTTCCTGAGCAGTTACTTTTTTCTGAAACCTCATTTTTTTTTGCTGCTGTTCCAAATATTTTAGAAAGTTTGTGTGGGTGGCTTCCATTTTCTTCTAGCTCAATATACACTGGACTTGTTGTGGATGAGCTGGAGGTTTTCAGTTACATTTTGCTTCTTCATCTTGTCATTTTCTATTTTATTTAGTTTTCTGTGTTGATGCTTGAGGATTTCTTATGGTATATAGCTTTATCACTATTTTTGAGGCTTCCCTAGGAAAGTCTACTGCCTGAGGTGTCTTATAGGTGTAGGTGGTTCTTGGTACTGGTATCTATCCCAAGAAAATACCTTCACAGTTTATTAAGAATGAGAAGTTGCCATGTATTTGTCTCAGCACTCACTTTTTTGGTACAGGAAACTTATGATGGCTATGCCCTAGAAAATCACAGTGTTGTCATATGAGCAAGAAAAATTAATTACAACAGATATGAGCTCCTGCCTAAAGTAGTGCAATTAACAATAACAATAGCATCATACACAGCCCAGCTACTGACAAATTGTGGTAACTATTAAGTTGGTATCTTTAACCCTAGGAGCAAACTCTATAAGTACACAACAAAATTCAACATATATCAGCAACTTTTATGCAATACTTAGTAGAGTAATTTTACTGTGGTGGGAGAGATATTTAAGAGGCCTGTGGAAAATCAGACAAATGTGGATATTTATGTAGAAAGAATGCTGGAGGGAACCACATGATTCCCGAAGTTTTAGGAAAGTAGAGGTGAACACAGGAGAGCAAGAATGAAAGACAAAGCAAAAAGAATATAGAAGCAAACCAGGAGAAGAGATAATGTTCATTCACATGGAAACATCATAAAATCTAGAGAAAGAATGGAGGAAAGAGAGAAAGTAGATGAACAGAGCAAAACAAAAATAAAGACCAGAAACCTAAATAGAAAAAACAACAATAATTAAACAAACACAATAATAAAATTCACCTGGGGTCTGCAGTTATGTCTTATATCCACAGTGGATCCCAGAAAAGTGCTTTGTAATCCCATCAGTTTATCAGTAGGATTTGTGCAGGGTGTAGGGCTCATCCTAGCTTCTGTATGTGGGGGCTGGGAATTATCTTCAGCTGACAACTATCTGAATCTCCTCTTTTCCTTACTGTGTTTTTGTCTACAGTTATCTCTTTCTTGGGTTAGTGCCTTTGGGTAGGGAAAACCCAAGGTTGCTCTCAGATTTGTATAAAGTTGGCTCCTTCAGGCTTTTGCACAATTTCTTCTGTTGCACATCACTGAATCCTAAAACATGCTGGTCATAGTGGAACATAAAGTGCCCCCACATCCAGTGTACTTTAGTTTCTTAGTGGCCCAAGTAATAGCTCCTCTTGCAGTTCCAGTTGCTTCTGTCTCTTAGAAATTGCTGGTCACTGTCATGTATAGCTGGTTACTATGATGCATAATATAAGAACCAATCAAAGTTAAAGTACTTTAACTCTGTACTTCCCCTTTTTTGCCATCCCATAAAACCTCTCTCCCAGGGACTTTAAGGCTAACATTTTGAGGGACCATTGATTTGCTGTCAGTGCCCATCCAGTGTTAAATAATTCTGCCTCCAAATCCTGAGTGTCACTTTGGTATTTCTGCTTGCCATTCTAGTAGTGTAAAGTGAGTGCCCTTGTACCACAGCTTTTAATAATCTGTTCTTGTGCTGAATTTCTGGAATTTTGATTTTTATATGTCTTTGTGTAGGTTTATTTTGGTTATGCTAATTGGAGCTGTATATTCCTCACATCTATTTGTCAAGTTCTTTTCCCATGCTTGGGAAATTTTCTGCTATTCTGAAAATAATAATTTGGTCATTTCGTTTTGTTAACTGCTGCTTTTTTGTTGACACCAATTAGTCTTCTATTGTAATTCTTTGCATCATCTTGCACTGTTGAATATTTATTTCTCAGTCTCTTGTTATTTTTAAGAGATCTTTTTTTTTCATGGTCACTAGCTACAATGATATCCTCAATGTCTGAAAGTCTATCCTTTAGTTTCATTAAAGTGGTCTTACCAGCTTTCGTTTGAAGTTGTAATTTTCTAGATATCTATTTGAATCCATTTCGTGTGTTATAATCCTTTACTGTATTGTTCATTCAAGGCTTCCATAATTTTTCAATACTCCTATGTTTTTAATCTATATCTTCTTTAGATATGTTCAACAATTCTTTCATTTCAGTCATCATTTCTTTTTTTTTTTAACCTGAGAGATTATTTCCGATCTGATTTCCTCTAAAGCCTCCTGGAGTTTTTCCTTTACTTCAGTTGCTATCACTTCAGAAAATTGGTGAGCAATTTCCAATTTGATCTATGTTGATGTCTCCTTGTCTTGTTCTTGCTGGTGGGAGGTCTGAAAATGCATTTTGCTCCTTTGTCTTCACATTTTCTATTAAAAAATGATTTTGACCTCTGTGATGATGCTTCTGAGTTGTTTTGCAGATCAATCAGAGCTGCAAGCAGAATGACAGTAAAGCTGGATGCAGTTAGCTAAAGGAGACTCAGAAGTCTTGTCCAAACTAAGCATGCACAGCGTATTTATTGAGAAGATTAGAAAGTATAAATCATGGGCAAAGGACAAGGCACAAGAGGTCCTCTAAATCAAGAGATTATGATCAGTCACATACTGCAGTTATCTTAAGACTTTGAAGTACACAAGATTTCCTCCTCTGGTCTCTAAGACACTTCTTAGAACAGAAACAGGATTGCTCCGTCTCTGGCAGCTTGCCACCAGGTATTGTACATCAGCTTGCTGGTTGTGCAAAGTGAAACAGCCTTTTCTTTGCATTCGTAAACTTCATCCTAAGTTATCTGTCATGAATCATATAGAAAGTTTCAGTAGTAAGTAGCTAATATAACTACTATCAAGGCCTCTCTAAGAATGCTGCGTTCTTCAGAGATCTCTTCCGTGTGTGGAAGATTCTTGGTTTGTGTCTGTCACAAAGTTCTGCCTTCCCAATTAATTGAGAGTGGGATGTTGTTTTCTGGATGACTCTATACACAATCTTTTGGTGGAGGATATAGTAAGGTTATTGCCCCAAAGCTTCCCAATATTGTTACCTAAGGGAGAACGAGTGCTTACAAATGTGACATCTTAGCTATACTCATGAAATCAAGCAAAATTTAGGAAGTGACAATCTGTGGTAACTATTGACTTTGTACTTTAGAGCATATAAGCTATCTATAATTATACAACTGAAAAACTTGTAAATTAGTACTTTGTGTGCAAAATGTTGCCCCTTGTTAGAGTGAATTTAACCTGGGTTCCTCCGGCCAAGTAGGTTGCCACGTGCCAAGTACCAGACACTTCCTGTGCACCTCTGTTTCATTTTGAAGGCCACAACTTTATTGGAGCTTCGTTTACAGCTAAACTCACAAAGTTTTGAATCATTCTGTTGTAATCTTTGCTTTTGATTCTCAACATAAATCTGATTAAAGTTCCAAACAGTAGCCATGCCAACAGTAGCTCTCAACAGTAGTCAATTAGACTGCCCTGAAGTTTCTTCTGCCAGACTAACTAGTCCTCCATCCTTAAACATAGTTAGAGGCAGTCTCTGGACATGAGCAAAATACAGAAAACTTTCTGCAACCTTTAACACATATTCTGAGGTTCAACTACCAATGTAGTCCTTCCCAAGAGAAACCACTCAACCTGGTCTACTTGTACAATTGCTGTCAGTCTTCTGGTCTTCTGAGCTCTGACCAGAATCTCCCATACAATCTGCTTTTTCAGGCAGGATCTGCAAACATTTCCAACATCTTTGCACAAGCCATTCCCAAAGGCTTCTGACTCAAACGTCAAGCATACTCACAGCAACAGTCCCACTTTTCTGATACCAAATTGTCTTAGTTACATTTCTCTTGCTGTAAGATAAGATACAGAATTCACAAAATAAAGGAAGAAAGATGTAGTTAGCTCACAGTCGTTAGTGGCTTCTGTCATAGTTGACTGACTCCGAAGTAGCATATGGCAGATGAAGGTTCAATCCCCTGGCCTGCTGCATGCCAGCCTCACCCCGAGGGTGTGCTGAGATGACAATTGTGACTGGGTGTGGTGGTGCATGTCTGTAATCCCAGCTCTTGGAAGGCTATAAACAGGTGGATCATTATGAGTCTGATCTAGTAGTGAGACCCTCAACACCCTGTAGACCCTTCCCTAAAATATAAAAAAAAGAAAGAAAGACAGACAGACAGACAAATAGACAGACAGACAGACAGACAGACAGACAGACAGAAGTCGTGTCAGGCAGAAAGTAGCAAAGCAATGAGCAGGATGAGCAAGCTAGGCACTTTTCTCTCTTATATTGTTTCCAGTCACCATTTTAAGGCTGTGTCAATCCTACCAGCAGAACGCTCCAGAAATCGCCCACCCTTAATCCCAGAACTCCTAATCCCAGCATCACACTACAAATCAATCACACACTCTAGATCCAGCACCTCCAAACACCCCATGACTGTACAAGGCTTTGGGAGAGGGACATCTAGAGCTAGACCACAGAAGAAGGACGCAGTAAATATGCAGGGCAGGAGAAAGGCCAGGACAATGTGGGTGAGGAACAAGAATGCTGGCTGTTCAGTGCCAAGCCCGAGGTAGCAGGAAGTAAGGTGCAGAGGGTCCCACCCTTGCAACGTGGCTGATCATTTTTCAGTGATCCTACATGTGAGGTGAGCTTGGCTGAGAATAACCTGGAATGACCTGGCTGAGCTTACATCTTGGCATGCTATGCAGGGAGGGGGATGAATACCTCAGAAATCCACTTTCAGTTTCCCTTTTTAGCTCATGGGACTATTAGCCTATAAAGCTGCTGCTCATTTCTCCTTGTTGTGAGTGATCCACACCGCAAAGAGCAGCTGAGCCAGCTGGATTGTGTCTAAACTCACAGAATCAGCCCCAGGAGGCTTCTTTGGTAAGTTGTGCATTCCTCTATGTCTTCAGTCTGAGGATCTCTTTGTCAGAAAAGGGTTATTGTCTCCATTTTATAGATGACTTGGGCAACATTAGGGAACAGAGCCTGGACATGCACTTGAGCACAAGAGCATGGATTTAAACCCAGTAGTGTGTCTAATTGACTCCCTCCCATGTACCCTAAATGGAGGAATGTGAAGGTCTGCTTAGATGGGGCACAAAGCTCCTGGTGGTGGCTGAGCTCCAGGGACAGACTGCTGGAGAGAGAGAAGGGCATGTGACCCAAGGAGAGGGTAGATGGGTCGGCTAACATTTTGAGAAACTTTAGGGAACTAATGGCAGTAGATGCCACTAGGGGATCTGAGGATGGACACAGGGGGATGCTGCTGAGACCTAAAGATAAAAAAAAACATTTGTCTGGAGCTGTGAAGCAGAGGCTGTCCTGCCTACCCACTCTGTGTCTGGGTACCTTTTAGTTCGGGGCCCTGAGGAGAAACTAAAATGTTATGAACAGATGGGCTTGCCCAGGGTCCTGGGAAGGAGGCAAAGCACGTGGCCAGCCAGCTTGTACCTGCTGGCCAGCTCCTGTCCTCTGTAGGTATGTGGGGAGAGAATGAAAACGCAGAGGCTGTGCTTCCTGTGGGGTGCGGGAGGTGCAGACATGTGGGGACTGAGTGGAGGAGGTGGCTGAATGACGTCCCCAGCATCTGACCTTTGTAATCCTACAATGCAAGGCCACACTGCCGGTGTGTCAGGGTAGACCTCTGTACCCATGCATGCAGACAAAACAGAAAAAGTTGGGTCGTTAGAAATTTCTGCTTGAATCTCAGAGGCAGAGGCCACTGTTGCCCTCCACTCTGTCCACCAACAGCGATACGGCACTTGGAGCTCATTTCCCTTCCCGAGCCTCTGCTTTTGCTTCATGGAAACGGAGTTAGAGTTCTCCGCTTTCCTGAGCCCTCAGCGAGCTTCTTGGGTGGGCCTTTCGTAGGTAGCAGAAGAGGGGCCAGCAGGGCTTGGAATCCCAAGGGCTGAAAGAAATTTGGGCAAAAAGTCCTGTGCTGGCTTCTAGACCTGCTCATTCTCAAGGGTAGAGGGAGGTCCCAGCTACCACACCCAAGCATAGCTGACTATTTTCTATAATAGTAAAAATAATGCACTTCAAATACGGGCAACCCAGTAATATTTAACCTCACATAAGCCAACACACACACACTCACGCACACTGTCATGAACTTTCACACTAGCTGATCAGACTGTTCTGTGGAACCTGGTGTGTTCAGACTGAAATACACAGCGCCGAGGGTTTTATTACAAGCCGCTTCTCTTTCCTTCCTTCCCACTCTGTTTCAGCACGGTACAGAATTTTCCAGCATGAGTGGACTTTTCTCTCAATCCTTGTTTAGCTTGAAGGTTAGATTTCCCCTCCTTTTTCTTTAAAGCCCATCTGAACACCACCTGCACACCCCAGAGCACCTTCCCCTGCACACTGTTACTCTGTGGTCCGTGGTGGGGGAACCTCGGCCAAGTGCACACGCTGCATCTGAACGCTGCAGTGTTGGACGGGATTGCCGATCATCTCCCAAAGCTCTGGAATGTTTTACACCCAAGTTGATTGCAAAGTGCGAATGAGCCCACACAGGCAACACATGGACACTTTGTCCTTTTAAACTCAGTGAGTTTCAAAATGTATCTCTGCGTATGAACTGTGTTTTCTTACTGTGGGCTTGCAGCAGAGGAGCCAAAGAGTTAGACAATGACTTCCACCCTTTACATGGAAACTCCCTGGCTTCCCTAGTGAGCAAGGAGGAGAGGGGCCAGCGCAGCTGAGCTCAAGATCTGGCGCTGGGTGTCACCTTCGAAGAGGGCTCTAGAGCTCTGGGAGGAAATCCTGCTTCTCTTCAGATAATAGCTGGGCCACATGATTTTAAAATTGTCTCTTTGTTTCTCATCACTTCTTTATTTTTTTACTTTTTATTTTTTAAGCACTTATTTATTCATTTATTTAGTACAGGGTCTCTACGAGCTCTGACTCATAGTGATCCTCCAGCCTCAGGCTCCCCAGAACTCAATTACAGACATGCTCCCACATGCCTGGTTCCCTTGGCTGGTGTGGCCCACCAAGGTTTCCAGCATGGGCATGGCATGTGGTACTGGGGATTGAGGCTGCGTTCTTGCACTTACTAGGCAGGTACTTGCATGGCCAAGCAACCTATCTCCCCAGCCCTATTTCTTGTCATTTTAAAATATTAATGCTAAAGAAAGACAGCATGAAAAGTGAAAGAAAACTTTCTATATATAATTTATATAATTGTCAAAAGACCTTGACATCAGCAAGCCAACTCATATGAAATCTGAGCCAGCTTCCTGCTTGTCCTTGGCTAAGAGTCCATTCATGGAGATGGACAAGAAAAGCACATGCGGTTTTTCAGGCAGGAAGGAAGCTGAAGCTGGGCCTGAGAGGCTGGTGCCCTGTGACCAGTAAATGCCTCCCATAGGCTGTGTTGGGGCAGGATGGGTGAGGAGGAGGGTGAGGCCATCCTGGGAGGTTCTAGTTGCCCACTAGGGCTGCTGCAGAAGGGACAACAGGAGCCTGCCAGATTGCACTGAGTCCCCTGGGAGACAGCTCCCCTCAGAAGCCTGCTACAGACAGAGCCAGGAGTCCCCTCCACATTCCGGGGCCTTAGGAGGGTGTGGGGCAGCCTGTGGGGAGGAAGAGGCTTGTGAGCTGGGCTTAGCCTGGAGGGGAAGATGGGAAAGGTGTCTGAGGAGGCATGGCCCCAGCAGTGGCCTGGGTCCAGGGTGAGCAGCCTGTGATCCAGGAAAGAGCCTGGGACCAAGGAGCTGGGGCGACAAGGAGAGACAAGGAAGGAAGTGCTTTGGAAGGCAGGAGGGCCTAGTTGTTGTGCTCAGGGCCTTGAACTCTGGCCTAGCTGCTCAGTGGAGAGTCTCCAGGTGGAGTATGCCATACTCGTTCTCTCCTCCCTGCTAAGCAGCCTGCTCTGCAGCAAAGGGAAAGAGAAACTGCACAGAAACCTCTGTTCTCCTTCCTGGGGAGAGCTGTGGTCACAGTTGCTAGGGAGCAAAGTGTTTCCTGCCTAGGCCATGTATTTGGCTAGGAGCAGGGCCAGGGGACACAGTGCAGAAATCCTACCAGCACCCTCCCTTTTCCTTCCCCCTGCAGCCTTTCTCAGGCTCGTGCAGGTAGCAGGCTCAGTTGAGAGGAGGGAGCACAGCCCTCAGCACCAGAGAAAGACCCCCTGGTTTACGAAGATGAGAAACTGGCCTAGAGTGCTCAAGGAAGATGTGAATTGGGTGTATGGTCACCCAGAAATATGTGGTGTCATCTACAACTCTACTTTCTGCCCACCCACCCTTCCTGCTCTCTCAGATGCTTAATTCCTGCCATCTCAAATGCTGTCCTGTTGATGGGGCCATGTCCCATTTGAGTCAAGAAAAAGACAGGGCAGACACCTCTCCTGTTGCACTGAGCCTTTTCTGATAAGCTCCCCAGTTTACCTTTTGTAGATTTGTCCTTGGTTCATCTTGGTAAAGGTTGAGCTACATGGTCAGAGGAGGCAGCAAGATGTCACTGGGTTAAGCAGAGCCTGTCCAGAGTGGCTATGCTTGCATTCTTTCCTCACAGGGTAGAAAGATCTGAGGCAGGGTAAAACCCTGTCCATCGGCCACTGTGCTGTGCTCAAAGAGACCCTCTGCCAGGCCTGGGGGTTGCACCTCATTCCACGGGTCCAAGAACGAGTCCTTGATACCAGGATAGGTAAAGGGATGAGGGCAGAGGAAGAGAGTGTGGAGCCCTGTTCAGAGCACTTCTTGATGTACCAGGCAGAAGGGAAACAGAGGGGACTTGCTCTGCAGCCCAGGGAGCAGGGATGGCAGATCCCTGGAGGCAGCTGATGGAGAGCTGGGCATTGGACAAACCACACTACATCCTCTTCTTCACAAACTTATTGAGGTTTTCGGATATTGGAACAGAGACACAGGCCTGTGGTCAGCCATGCCCAAAGCATGGACTGCAGCCAGGAGGTAGATCCAGAGGCCCAGCGGCCCTCACCACACCTAGGCAGGCACTCACACTGCCCCAGGAAGGAAAGGGGCCTGGCAGCTTACAACTAGACTGTGTCTCCTGGGTCAGTTGAGCTGTGTGAGCAGTTTGGATTTGTGTTCTAGGAACTGCTTGCTGATTTGTTTTTTGGGTTTTTTTTTTTCTGGATTTTATATTTTTGGTACTTGACTTTCAATTTATATTTATATTGTAATTTATTACATTTAAATTTTTTTCTTTTATTCAGCTCACTTCTTTGGTCTTTCTGCCTTTTCTTTCTTAATATTCTTTCTTCCCTGTTCTTTTACTTCTTTTTAATTTTTTTACTTTATATTTTTTTTAAATGTTCTTTTATTTTATTTATTTATGTGTGTGTGTGTGTGTGTGTGTGTGTGTGTGTGTGTGGCCAGCTCAGCCCACCAGGGGGCACGGCTGGCTGGCATGTGGTGCTGGAGGATCAAACCGAGGAACCACGGCCCCTGTGCTTTGCGAAGCTTGTTCTAAGTAGGTGCTTTAGACCACTGAGCCATCTCACCAGCCCATACTTTACATTTTTTAAAGAATACAAAATAGTGACAAAAATATCATTAGAAACAATAACAAATTTCACTAAACAAAGTAATAGGAATTCAATGATGATTGCTGTGTTGCACGATGTTATCTTAAAATTAGTTGTGAGATGACCAGATATCAAAGTGTAAGATCGATTTAAAGAAAAAAAAGAAACAATAACAAAGAGTTGTAAGAAGTTAAAAAGAAAAAGATAAGAATAAGAATAAAACTAAAAAAAATTTAAGCACTAAATGCTCCTTTTAAAGACCAAAAGAAATTGACAGTACAATTATTAAAAACATTCTGCATATATACCTAAAAATGTTGTTAGTATTTTTATTGCAATAAAATTAAATCTGTATCAGTTTTGGAATTATAGTCATTTT